CAAACCGGAGACCAAAACCAGCAAGTGACCATACCATGACGACCAGGACGACGAGATGAAGAGATCGCCGTCGAGATCGCCGCCGGACTCCGTCGCACGCGCCGTCACGCTCCACCGGGAGGTTCCAGCAGCTGAAGTTCAATCGCGCGCGTGGGAGCGCGTGAGAAGTCCGTTTTCCGATCGGTCAACGCCGTTGACTTCGCCGTAACGTCAGCTTTCTGGATTGGTCAAGTTTGTTCGATTCCGAGAAGATTTGATTTGCGGTCATCTGTCCGGGCCAGCCAGATCTACATAAATTTTAAGCAGTAAGTTTTCTTCATCAAACCTTTAGATCTGCTGCGCATAGGTTTATGTTGAAAGTTTGTCTGTGATCTGGGCATATCGAGATCCTCATGGGTTCCAACACAGTTGTCCTGTCTTTTTACCGAGCAAGATGTCCTTCTTCAGGAATTCAAGCGGCTACAGCTAGAGGCAGTGGAGCCGACTCCGACAGCCGGGGGTATGTTGACCTCTTTGGTTGTGGGATCGACTCTTCGAGAGAGGATAGTTGCTGAGCAGCTGAATGATCGTTTTCTGTGCCGGATGAGAGAGTTGGCGACTAGTGGTCAGATTGGAGGCTTTGCAGTTGCATCTGATGGAGCATTAGTCTTCGAGGGTAGACTATGTGTTCCGAAGGTGTGGGAACTGCGAAAGGAGATTTTGAGAGAGGCCTATAGTGCCCCGTATACTATCCATTCTGGTAGCTCGAAGATGTATCAGGACTTGACGAAATCTTTCTGTTGGCGAGGCATGAAGAGACAAGTGGCGAGGTTTGTGAATGGGTGCCTGGTGTGTCAGCAAGTGAAGGCTGAGCACCAGAAACCGAGAGGGAAGTTGCAGCCTTTTGAGGTTCCCTTGTGGAAGTGAGAGTGCATCATCATGTATTTCTTAGTGGGATTGCCGAGGTCGAGGACCGGGCATGATTCCATTTGGGTGATTGTGGATCGCCTTACGAAGTCTGCCCACTTTCTGCCGGTCCGGACAACTATGAAGGCTAGTCAGTATGCCGAGTTATTCGTGGATGAGATTGTCAAAATTCATGGAGTTTCCGTGGAGATCGTTTCTGATCGAGACGCAAAGTTCACTAGTCAGTTCTGGAAGACTCTGCACCGAGCCATAGGGACGAGGCTGGAGTTCAGTACAGCTTTTCATCCTCATACAGATGGTCAGTCAGAGCGGACGATCCAGTATTTGGAGGATATATTGAGGGCTGTGGTATTGGACAGTAGCCTAACTTGGGAGAGTGCCTTACCTTTGGTCGAGCTGACTTACAACAATAGCTACCACTCCTCGATCAAGATGGCCCCGTTCGAGGCTTTGTATGGACGGAAGGTCCGAACACCCTAGTACTGGGATGAAGTTGGGGAGAGGAAGATTATGGGTCCGGAGTTCATTCATAGAGCTTCGGAGACAGTTGAGGCTATCCGGAAGCATATACGATCAGCCCAAGAAAGGCAGAAAGTCTATGCCGACCGGGAGAGACAGGAGCACGAGTATGTCGTCGGAGATCATGTCTTCCTGAAGGTTTCGCATATAAAGGGCGTGATTCGCTTCGGGAAGATGGGGAAACTTAGACCGCGTTATATTGGGCCATTCGAGATCCTTGCCCGAGTCGGGAACTTGGCTTATTGGCTGGCTTTACCACCTAGCTTGTCGGGGGTGCATGACGTGTTTCATGTCTCTATGTTGCGGAGATACGTGCATGATCCCACTCACGTGGTGGACTTCGGCGAACTGCAGGTCGAGCGAGACCTTACCTACGAGGAGGTACCGATGGCTATTTTGGACCAGAAGGTCCATCAGTTGAGGAACCGGGCAGTGAGCTTGGTGAAGGTGCTTTGGAGCCGACATGACGAGACAGAGGCGACTTGGGAAAAAGAGGCCGAGCTTCGGAGGCGATATCCGAACTTTGAGTTTTGAGTTTCCCTTGTATTTTATTGCTTTGTAGATATCTATTTTCGAATTCCGAGGACGGAATTCTTTGTAAGGTGGATAGACTGTAATACCCCGTTCGATTGTGGATTAATTTGGTATAATTATTAATTATTGCTATATTAATTGCCTTTATTATTATTATTAATATTATTATTATTATTATTATTATTATTATTATTATTATTATTATTATTGTTGTTGTTATTACTATTATTATTGTTATTATTATTATTATTATTAAATGTCAATTTGCTAATATTGGTTGTTATTAGTAATATTACTATTATTAATATTAATTGTCTACATGTTATATTAGAAATAAATAAAATGTATATTATTATTATTAAATAAATGTTATTTGTGTGTGTTATATGTTATTATTATATATTAATAATTATTGTGTATTTACATATATATATATATATATATATATATATGTTTCGATTTTATATTAATTTACCGTTTGATCGAACCAAGAAAATCCGACTCCTGAGCAGTGAAGCCGCACACGAACCGGCCATGAACCCATAACCGTTTCCTATTTTTAAATCATGATGGCCATTTAAAAATTGAGTCAAGTCTCATTATATTACAATTATGGTAACATAATTGTTTAGCCGTTGCAACAATTATTGTAATATAATTGTTTATGCTCGTCATCCACACAACACACAACAGGAGACTTCATTTTTTTATTTTTTTTCCTTTGCAAATATATCCCTCCATCATCATCACTCTAAATTGCCACCACCATCGTTTTTGCTTCTGCCGCCATCTGCAAGCCTTTCCGCCGGCGTCTTCCTCACCGGCGTGTAGTTCCGGTTTTTCTGTGTTTCCCACGAGGAGTCCAGGCCGAGTTCAACCACCATCGTC